GCCCGGATTAAAACCGTACTCTTGAGATCACTTTAGGGCTACTAACCCATGGGTACCTTTCCCCTAGTGTACACTATAGTGTATAGGGACATTCCCCCGTACTAGAACCAAGTCCTAGCCATGTCAATTCTTGATTGATATCCCAAGTCCCAAAATCAACAAGTTGTGCAAATCAAGATAGTATCAAAATACAAGAAATGCATTAACCACGTTTCATGTACAACCAAATTTTGGAACAAACAAGTTCATCAACTATAATAGCATGTGAAATATCAAGAAATCAGAGCATGCATCTATATAAATTAGAACCAAGATATATATAGCATATGGAATCCATTGAAGGAAAAATACTACAAGTATAGGATACATGATTTAATTATTTACTAAACAATACATGAATAATTAAATTGTTCCAAGACAATTGTGCTAGTTTATTAAACACATTAATGAAGTCAAGATACAAGGGGTCATGATTAAATCGATAGAAGCATAAAAAAGGAACTTAATCTACTCAAGGGATCAAGTTATCAAGATTTCAAGGTAAGTCTAAGTGTTCTACAAACAAGGCATGTCAAGGATCATGGTGGGTCATTGTCGTCGCACTACACCATAAGCTTAAGAGTGTGCATTAAGGCGAGGGCCAAGTTTTACATTTATAAAAGCCACTACTACCTTTACTAAAAATATAGTTAGGGTGAGTAGGGATTGTCTTAAGGGATTGAGTTGTCGTACTAGCTTATGGAATCACTATTAGGGTTAGTAGGTCAAGTGATCAAACAAATAGTTGGTTGGTTGATTAAACTAGAGAGCAAATTAAACTAAATAATTGAATGCAATAAAGAATAAGTAAGAGAGAGATATCTTGGGGTTTAGAGGTCACCACCAAATAATACTTTTCTACACCCTTAACAAGTGACTAATGAGGGAAATGTGTGTTGCAATATTGATATGTGTGTGTGTTTGGTTAATTTAATTAGTAAGGATGACCAATTAAGTATATATTGTCTAAGAAACATGTGAAAAGCACAATATATCTAGCAATTAAGTATATATTGTCTAAGTAATATGTGAAAAATACAATATATCTAGCAAGTCATTAATCCTTTCATTAAGCTCACAAGCCAAATACACCACAAGGTTAAAGACATATGCTACTTGCATTTAAAAGTATGGAACATCAAACAACAAGCATGGATTGTCCTCCCATCTAACAACTATACTACCACTGCACTACAATTAGACTAATGATATGAAATTAAACTAATTAAGCTAAGGGAGAGGCACAATCCATCAAGTAATGAGCATGAACCATCAAGAAAATTACAAGAGCATTCCATTAAGCACTATGTTTTGACAATCTCTAGATCTATAGCATTAATACACATAGATATGCATCAATAACACAAGAAATAAAGACATACACATAAACATCTATTCTAGCATACATGGACATATAGATAGAATGAAATGATCAATTGAAAGTATTAAACCACATAAATCATTGAATAAATAAGATCTATATACATAAAAGTGCTAAAACATGTATTACAATACTAATCCCTCAATAATACACAAAATCAAGATGTAGAAAGCATGCTTGGGGCTAACTCTAGCCCCAAGAGGATGTCTAGCCACTCATGGTAATGCTTCTCCAACCCTCAAGGGCAAACTCCATAGAAGAAATCTACTCTTTGGTTGATGAAAATCTTCCAAGCTTGTGTCTCTAGCCTTCTCCTCCTTTCTTCCTCCCTAAGAATAGCCTCTATTGTGATAGATCAATCCCCTTCCAAAAAGTGTATCATATTCTATATATAGGTAGGTCAAGTGACACATAAAATGAGCTGGGGTCGTGAACAAAATATTCCCCAATGATTGGATAAGGACAGCTTTCAATGAGCTGGAAATTTAACTTTTTCGCACTGAAGGAAGTTCGATTGATCGAACCTTGGACTTGGATCGATCGAACATGGCTGAGATCTATCGAACTGAAGTTGGATCGATCCTCAATGGTGGCGCCTTTTTAGATAAAAACAAATCTGAGATATTTTGAAGATATTTTTGGGAAAAGGACAAAAGTGGTTGGTAGGGTGGTACAACTGGATAAGATCAATCATTTGGATAAGGACAAGGTAGTTCGATCGATCGAAGAATGATGTTCGATCGATCGAACTTTTGAGATCTTTAAAAATGTCATCATGGCTCTGATCCATCTTGAAATGCTGAGATCAATCATGTTGGATCGATCGAACTTTGATCTGAGATCGATCATAGATGTTGAATTCCACCTTTTGATTCCTTTTGTTTCCACTTGGCTCCTTTCTTTGATTTATCCCAGAATTGCTTCATTTCTGTTCTTATTAGACTGAGTTAGCTTATTTTCGGGATAAGTGCCTGAAAATGGAAATAACACGAAATCAATCTAAAACGGTAAAGTAAGATAGATAAAGGTACTAGAATACCTAAGCTTAAGGGGTTTAAATACGCACTTTTCAGCGCTCATCAGATCATGTCAAGGTCAAGTCTAATATCAAGTTACAAGTTTATTTCACACAAGACACTACCATGTGAATTAAGTTCCATACAAAGGAATTAATTAAATATAAGTTTCAAAACTTATCCAATTATTCTCAAGTTGATACATGTGAAGGAACTAGTCAAGGAAGGCATGATTACCAAGTTAGAAACTTAATCAAGACCAATGAGCTATTGAATGGATTTTAATTAAAATCTCTAGGTTTTGAAATTCATCTAAATGATCTCAAACTAGCATATGTTATACAACATGTCAAGACTTGATTTAAAAGCATGATACAAGTATATTTCATGCAAGGTACGGCCATGAGTATTAAACTTTAATACTAGAAAAATAATAATTGAAAGGTTCCAAAACCTAATCAAATATTCTAGATTTAATATATATGAAACTATATGACATGCATATCAAGAATGTCAAGTCGGAATTCCAATGGAGTGAATAGTACACCCAGAATAAATAAATTAATCAAATTAATTAAATATTACTAGATTTCAAAACTTCTCCAATTACTCTCAAAGTAATCTATGTTGAAGAGTATGCTAGGGCCTAATATAATATGGTAACACATATTGATTTCAAGCTAGTTAAGGCCACATGATTTAATATTTTATTCAAGATAAATATTAAATAAAATCTTCGTTACTTGTCCAAATGATCTAGATTTAATATATGTCAATCAACATATCATGGTGTAATATAATATCATGTCACATATTTAAAACAAGTATCAACCCACCGGGAAAATCAAATCTCATACAAGAAAAATAAATAATAAAATCTCTAGATTTTATATCCAAGCATGTAAATAGGTTGTATAAGCATCACAAGCATGCAATATAACAAGAAAGTAAATTATAACACCCCCTACCTCAATTTGAGATGAAAACCTTAAAGGCCCACAGAAATAAAAGTGCTTTGAATCCGACGATACCGAAGGGTTTTATCGGGGACAACACGGTGAACAAGAATCCAAAGGAAGCCCCATGAAAATCACAACTTGACTTCAAACCCAAAATTAAGAAATGGTCAGAAATGGGTTCTAATAAGGGTGAAAGATGCACGTCATCAAGACAAGTATTAAACGTTAAGGCACTACGATATTTCACTCAAGGTAAGTGGCCGGAAAAAGAAGAAGAAGCATGGTAGCCCCTTGTCAGCCATGGCTGCTGGCCAAGAGAGAGGAGAGAGAGAAGAAAATCTGACTTTTTCTCTTTAAGTCCCCTATTTATAGAAAATCTCAAAAAGTGCCCCGAAAGGGCCCCGCCGAGTCCGGAAAAGTGGATTTTGAGCAAACGAGCTCAAACGGAAAAACTCCGTGAACAAAAAAGATTCAAAATGAGAAAATATGAACAACGGAAGAAATGACATCAAAAACCGAGTTCCGAGCAGAGAGATATGCCCTAAACAAGTTCGGCGGCAACTAGGTCCAGAAACCCTGAAACTGGAGAAGGACGACCAGAAGGAAATTCTATGAATTTACGAGTCGATAAAAAGTGAAAATGAATCCCGTACGAGGATCCAGACTCCAAATGAGATATTTTTGCAATAACTTTCTTTAATTGCACAATGACCCCTGCAAAAAGGGTTAACTGCACTAATGACCCAGAATGAAAATATTTTCCAAAAATATTTTCTTAAAAACCCCTGAAATAAAATATCTTCAAAAGATATTTACGAAAAACACCCCAAGAAAAGAAAATAATTCTAAAGAACTATGCATCCATGCCCCTATGGACACTAGGAGCAACCAGAGTACTTTCTTGCAAGAGTAAAGATACGTATTTCATGGAAACCACTAAGGATGAAGATATATGAAGTCAAAAACTAACTTCGAGCATAAAAAGTGAGGTTTTGCCAACAAAGTGACAAACGGGAAAAAGACAGAATAGGGAAAAGGATGAAACAGGGAAAATGAAGAAAAGTGAATAGTGTCCAAAAAGTGAAAATGTGGAAATGACTCGGTCCTCAAAGGAAGATGTCAATCCAAACGAAAGAGTCTCAGAAACCAATTCCAAGCACTCAAGACGACACTAAACGACGAGAAACAGAACTTAGAAAGGAAAATTAAAAAAAAAAAAAAAATTATCCATAAAATTTCAGGAAAAAGGAAAGGGTGGAAAATGACCGGGTCATTACATGTTGTGATTGCAAGCTCTAGATTGAATTTTATTATATAAAATAGTGGTGCCTTAAAATTTCGTGTTTTAAAAGTGCTCTAAATCTCTGAGAATTTTTTGGACTGCATGTGTGCCTTGAATTATAGATCATTGTTTTTATTTTCTCAAAAATCAAAAATGAAAATATATTAAAAAATAAAGAAAATAAAAAGAGTCATTTTGGTTATTTTTCTTGGTTTTTAGATTATTTTTTATCATCAAGGGTCATTTTGGTCATTTTAGTTTTATGCTAATGTGTTCGTGACCGGCATTTAGGTCTTTTTGCAGATTCTGTGAGCTTAACCAGTTGGATATGAAAATCACAACGGTTGTTAAGATGTCGAGAGCAGAGTTTATATCTGCATGTTTTCCAACTAGTTGGACTTGTAAACCCAACCGGTTGGGGTATGCTGTCATGTGCGCGTAAGTCAGCCTTTTAAACCAAGTGCTTCGGCCATTTGAACACACCCACGCACTCGCGCGCATAGAGCCTTTGAAGTCGTCCTAAACACCCAAAGCCATCCACATTCATTTTCCTTTGAATCAAACTTGGTAAGCTTTCTATAAATATTCTTTAAACTTGATTTGATTGTAATTTAGATCCTTAGAACACAAGTTTAATCTTTGGTGAAAAAAATTTGAGGAGTTTGGAATATTTTTGATGGTTTGCTTGATTTGTTGCTTGTTGAGGTGTTGATCGTTGTTGTGTTACTATATTATTGTTATTCTTGTGTTTGTTGTGTGTTTTTTGAGCTTTGAATCTTCAAGAGAAGGCTTTGACAGTGTGCTTGCATGCGAAACACACCATCTGTTCGACAAAAGGTCTCAACTAAATTCCATCATTGTTTTTAGCTTGTTTGGCTTCAAAATTCCCATGGCACCTAAGAAGGGTAAGTCCAAAGCCATTCTGAACAAAGTTGGTCACATTAACTTCTCAATGGAAATGTTCCATTCAAAGGAAACTTTTGAAGAATTTGTGTCTACAATTTAACAAAGGGTTCTCAAAGTTAATGCCAATGATGATGGTGGTGATGATTTTAGCACTACTGGTTACAATCATAAGGATATAGATCCAGAATTTAGTGTTTGAGGGTTGAGAGAGCATCTTTAGATATTCATAGACTTTATTTTGGGTCTATACTTATATTTTTTAATGTTATGTTACTTGTTTGACTAGTGGATGGTTATCTTTGATGCTTACCTAACCTGGATTTGATATAGCTATGCAGAGGAAAGGAATCCTCTCCTTTGTGCCTCTCACTAGAAAGTGTCCAGTGAGGGGTAAATTGGCTGATGTCGCACTTTGGTGAAATGTATATTTACCGATGTTTGTTTATACTCTTATACATCCAAGTGAACATATATTTCTTTATACTCTGTACTTGTATTTCAGTTTCAATTTGAAATTCCCCGCAAAACGAAAGTTGAAAGTTAAGATTGGAGCCAAAACTGCTATATATATAGTCATTTTGAAATATCCCTTTCTTTTCTGAAATATCCAAACAGAACTCCATGATCAAGTGCAACCATGAAAGAAGGCAACCAAGACATTACACATGACCAGACAAAGATTTTGGAGAAGAAGAAACTGAACTTAGGACATTTTGTGGAAGACAAAGGATCTCTGTTCAAAGAAGCTCCGTTCGAAAAAATCATCATACATTCCGGTGAAAAATTGAAGCTCCGATCATCCAATCCGACGTAATTTATACATCTTCTTTATGCACCGTGTTATTGCATCTTTCCAAAATCGTATTTGAGTTTCAATTTTTAATTTCTCCCCAAAAGGAAAGTTGACCTTACCTCAAAACTCTGCTATATATACTATGTTTGAAATATCAAATAGGAAATCCCTCTCTGAAATTTGAAATCCGGTGAAGAAACTCTCCCCAAAACTCTGTTATTTATGTTTTTTGTGTAAAAAACTCTCTTGGTGAAGGTCGAAGAGGCATAGCAAACAAAAGGAGATCTAGTCAGAAAAATCACCATATATTCCGGCGATAAGCTAAAATTTCCGAAAAGGAGAGATTCCCCCAAAATATTTCCGACAGTAAGCTCTGATCATTATATAATAGGTTGTTATTTTGAATTTCTTATCTTATATGGCGGCAATCCAATGGTGATTATTGGTAATCAAAAAATTTGAAGGTTGGGTTCATCACCTACTTTTTGTTACAGCATACAAATCAATTTATTATGCTCACAACTTATTTAAACATGTATCATGTATGAATTGCATATTGCATCAATATATTTTCCTAATACGTCAAAAAAATTAACTTCCATAACTCAATTTCACAATTCCTAAATTAATAATAAGAATCACAAATACTTTCAATATATATGTAGGAAGATTTGTAAATTCCATACTTTTTGTAACAATATATAATACAAAATTTTGAGAGATCAACTTATTATTATCACAACTTTTTTTTAACATGTATTGTGTATGAATTGTATATACATCAACATATTTTTCTAATACGTTAAAAAAAATTAACTTCCACATCAAATTATTATTATCAATACTTTTTTAGACATATATCATGTATGAATTGCATATAACATCAACATATTTTCCTAACATGTTAAAAAAAAAAAAAAAAAAAAAAATAACTTCTACAAGTCAATTTCACAATTCATAAATTCATAATAAGAATCACAAATACTTTCAACATATATGTAAGAAGATTTGCATATTCCATCACCTACTTTTTGTAACAGCATACAATACAACAATTGGAAAGATCAAATTATTATTATCACAATTTTTTAAAACATGTATCATGTATGAATTACATATAACATCAATATATTTTCCTAACATATTAAAAAAATTAACTTCCATAACTCAATTTCACAATTCCTAAATTAATAATATGAACCACAAATATTTACATATATGTAGGAAGATTTGCATATTCCATCACCTAGTTTTTGTAATAGCATATAATACAAAAGTTGGAGAGATCAAATTATTATTATCATAACTTTTTTAAACATGTATCATGTATGAATTGTATATAGCATCAACCTATTTTCCTAACACGTTAAAAAAATAAACTTCCACAACTCAATTTCACAATTCAAAACCTTAAAATCTATATAATTAGTTAATTATTTCAAAACCCTAAAATCTCAAATTAATTTTATATATTTGGTACATCATCAATGTTGAAGATTTATAATTTTACTGAAAAGGAATGGAATAAATTATTTTTGTATAAAAGATTTGTATATATATATTTTTGTATAAATATAAGGTATAAGTGTATATTGTATGGGGATTTGTAATTTATTGAAAATGAATAGAATAAAATATTTTTGTATATAATATATCGTTATACGTATATTTGGATACTAAATTGTACTGATATATTTTTGTATGTAAGATTTGTATATATATAATGTATAAGTGTATGTTGTATTGAGATTTGTAAGTGTATGTTGTATTGAGATTTGTAATTTTATGGAAAAGGAATGGAATAAAATATTTTTGTATATAATATATTGTTATATATATATTTGGATACTGAATAATACCATTATATTTTTGTATATAAGATTTGTATATATATATATATATATATATATATATATATATATATGTATATGTAATGTATAAGTGTATTTTTGTATACATATAATGAAGAAAAACTCGCCTGCGCAATACGTGTTCAACATATTTTTGTTGTATTAGTACATGTGGTAAAAAAAGAGTATATCAATAACTTTATTGACTAAATTGCTGACTGGGCGCTAAGTTGTAGGGTGTCAGGAGGTGCTGTGGCAAACAGGGCCTCAGCCCTTGGATCCTCACTTGACTCTGTCCAGTGAAAGGTGCACAGGGGCAGATTCGGATCCGTTTTGTGTATGCTTTGATGTTCGTGATATATGTTGACATATATTTGGATTCATTCATTATCTTCATGATTATACTCTCTATGTGGTTATTTTGATTCTCTTATCCTTTTATACATGCTTTGTCAATTTGTTCCAAACAAAAGGGGAGAGATATGCATGCTTAAGGGGGAATAATGATCATTGAGGGGGAGTAGAGAATATATATTTTCTATCTATATTGCTATATCTTTATTAAGCTTTCACATATAGTTTTGAGAGTATATGTGTAGGTTTCAAGTGTTGTTTTTTCAAGTTTAAGTTCAAGCTCGTCTACACTGTTTTCAAGCTTCATGTGAAGAATGATTCTGTTGTTTATTTTTAGGGAAAAATGTAATTTACTTTTACTACTTAGGCAGATTTCTTATTGTCTAGGTGTTTTGTCATAAAATTGCATAAGGGGGAGATTGTGAAGTATAATATTTGATTGACATATTTTTGTGTCAAAACAAGTTCTATCGAGTTGTAATTTTCATGTTTTTTTGAGTCTCAAGGTCGAAAGTGGAACGGTATGTGCTAACTTACTCCGAGATCATCGAGAGATTACTTAGACAGGGAAGTAGAGTGAGGACACTATATTTTAATTTATAAATTATGTTTTCAAAGAGAGCTAGAAGTTTTAGAGTTAAAACTTGCATTTTTAGCCTAAGTCAAAACCCAACTAGTTGCAAATTTTTCAGGTCTACAATTTAGCTCCAAGTAAAACCCAACCGGTAGGACTTCAAAACCCAACTAGTGGGGTTTTTCCAAACCAAGAAGGAAAGTTCTTTTCATGACCAATTTGATTCTTTTTCTTATGTGGTTTGAAGGAAATGTCTTTGCACAAATTTGCTAACTTTCAAATGGCTTTTAGGGTTCTCTAAACACCTATAAATATATAATGTATTCTCAAAATCATTAAGGCTTCCACTATTCGAGTTTCAAAACCCTAGGAGAGCTGCTACAGAGATTTTCCAGAGATTTCTTATTTTTCAATTTGATAATATATTACACACAGGAGTGACAAACTTTAAATTAATAATAAAAAAAAGTTTTCATCCCTTGCTAGATACCTTTTAGGGGTCGGTCTTCTTGCATTGCCTACGTAATTACATATGTGGAAGTCAAGATATATAAGTAAGGGACCAAAAGCAATTAATTAAACAAAGCATGCAATGTTGCAAATTTTCAATTCCTTTGATAACATAAGATAAGGCGTTTGGCTTATCTCGGTGTCGGGGGCGGAGTAAAAATAATTTATTTGGGAGGAAACTACTAATATAAAATTAAAATTTTAGAAGAAAAAATAATATAATTATAACATTATTCTTTCTATGCATTTTTATAACATACATTTACAGCATGTTTATAAATTATATGAAAAGAAAAAATTGATACACAGTACATTGACAAACTTTAAATAAAATTGTGAAAGTGTCAAACTTTCTTTTTCTTCTCTTTAATTCTTTAGAAATAATATATATGAATATAGATAGAGTATTAATATGTTGCAAGAAGGATTATAATAACAGCTTACACTTTTTTAATTTGCTTTACTTGCTTTTATTTTACACGAGGTTTTACTCACAACAATTGGTCTAATCTGCCAATTGGGATTTCCTCGCTAAAATCCTGGTGTCATATCTCAAACTCTATTTGTTTTACTTGCTTTTATTTTATATGTGATTGTTTAATTATTTGCTAATTTAAGTAAAACTAATTGAATAGAAAAACACATGATTAAATCCGTTCTAGAAAAAAACTTAAACTTTCCACAACTTATTCCGCTGCATAAACTCACAAAATGTAATTTACTTTTATTGCTTAGGAAGATTTCTTATTATCTAGGTGTTTTGTCATGAAATTGCCAAAGGGGGAGATTGTGAAGTATAATATTTAATTGGCATATTTCTGGGTCAAAACAAGTTTTATTGAATTGTAATTTTCATGTTTGTTTTGAGTCTCAAGGTCGAAAGTGGAATGGCATGTGCTAACTTACTCCAAGATCATTGAGAGATCACTTAGATAGGGAAGTAGAGTGAGGACACAATATTTTAATTTATAGGTTATGTTTTCTAAGAGAGCTAGAAGTTTTAGAGTAAAAACTTGTATTTTTAGCCTAAGTCAAAACTTAACTGGTTGCTTTTCAAAACCCAACTAGATATGAATTTCTCGGGTCCATGATCTAGCTCCAAGTAAAAGCCAACTGGTGGGACTTCAAAACCCAACTAGTGGGGGTTTTCCCAACCCAAGAGGGAAAGTTCTTTTGATGACCAATTTGATTCCTTTTCTGACTTGGTTTGAAGGAAAATTCTTTACACGAATTTGCTAAACTTTGAAGAGGCTTTTAGGATTCTCTAAACACCTATAAATATATCATATATTCTCAAAATCATTAAGGCTTCCAGTATTCAAGTTTCAAAACCCTAGGAGAGCCGCTTGAGAGATTTTGCAAAGATTTCTTATTTTTCAGTTTGATAATATATTACACACACGAGTGATTTAGGATGTGTGTGTTTATTTGATGAATTGTATTTTTCATTCATATCATTTCATGAATTTTACAGAATATTTATAGGCTTGATTCTAGATATAATACCTAGAATCAAGCAACACAATCCCTCGAATCTTTGACACACCTAATTTAAACATTTGACATTCTAGATATCTTTGAATTCCTTAATTCAACACTCCCCCTCAAGTTGGTGCATAGATGTCCCACATGCCCAACTTATCTAAAAACTTTAAGAACACTCGATTTGAGACTGCTTTGGTGAGAACATCAGCCAACTGATCCTATAATCAAATCTTAAGTAATTCCACAAGCTTTCCATCCAACTTTTCCTTAATGAAAAATCTGTCTACCTCAGTGTGCTTTGTACGGTTATGTTGAACTGGATTATGCGCGATGTCACATGCTGCTTTACTATCACAAAACAGTCGGATAGGTTGTTTAGATAGATAACCCAAATCCCGCAAAAGGTTTCTTAGCCATAATGCCTCACAAAGTACATTTACCAAACCTCTGAATTCAGCTTCTGCACTTGAGCGAGCTACAACATTTTATTTCTTTTTCTCCATGTATACGCCAAATCCGGTCTCGTGTGTGATAAGTACATCAATCTCCTTACAAGTCTTTGGTATCTTCCTTTATTAACAGGTACTTGGTTGGACTTAACACATAACTTCAGTCCTTCTTCCATTGATGTATCAGCTGGTTGACATGCTGTCATGCCTATCTTTTGTAATAAATCTAAAACATATTTTCTTTGAGATAAAAAGATCCCTTTATTAGATCGAGATACTTCAATCCCAAGAAAATATTTTAAATGACCTAGATTTTTCATCTCAAATTCTCTGGACAAGTAATTCTTGAGAGCCTTCATTTCTTTAGTATCATTCCCTATAACCACCATATCATCTAGATATACAATGAGTGCAGTGATCTTACCCTGTTGTTTCTTCAGGAATAAAGTGTGGTCTGAATTGCTCTGATGGTAGCCAAAAGCTATCATAGACTTTGTGAACCTTCCAAACCATGCTCTCGGAGATTGTTTCAACCCATATAACGATTTCTTTAACCGGCACACCTTCTGACTATGTTGTTCGGGTATCATGCATCCTGATGGAAGATCCATGTAAACTTCTTCGGTTAATTCACCATGTAGAAAAGCATTTTTTACATCAAATTATTGTAATGGCCAACCCAAGTTTACAGCTAAAGATAGCAAGACACG